TGTGGTTAGGTCTAAGTCTGTGCGGTCTAAATGGCCGCTCCCCACCGAAGCCCACCCAAATAAAGGAGCTCTTAATGCCCAAGTGACCAAGTGACGGCGTACCAGCGTTCCGTCACATCCGGCATTGGCCCCACGTGTTAACACATGACATTGATAACGAATTAAAACATGCTGAAAAAAGTGTAAAAATAATACTTTCAATGGAGGCGTTTCCATAGTAACAGCAGTGCACCATCCACAACTAACCCCCCTCCCAAAGGAAAATAAGTGAATGAAATCGCGTTGTCTGTAGTTTGTTTGATTTTTTTCGTCTCTTTGACGGCAGGAGATATGGCTCAGAGGTTGAGCAACTAGTCATGCCTAGATCTAGGGGACTTTTATAAAAATCCCCAATTTCTTGCCGTGCAGCCAGGAGGAGTCCAACCAAAACTGGGCCCGGCCTATGGGGGATTTAGGGGACAAATATTGAGAATTGTTAGGAATTCAAGGTGAGTTTCAAATTGAGGCCAAAGTAGCCAAATTATTATCAAATGTTACAGTTCAACTAGTTTAGCCTTCAAATTGAAAATCCATTTGAATTAACTTTGAATTCCCCACAATATTCAGCTTAGTAATTACCCCGTTAATATACATAACAATGCTCCCCACAAAAGTGCAATAGAAAAATTATTTTATCAAAAAAGCACAGAAATGATCCCACAAGAAATACGCTATTTAGAGAAGCAATAGTTTAAACAGTAAAGTGCACTGGGTAATCCTCTTATCGGACCTCCACAAAGTTGTCAGAGGGGTATCCCTTCCCCCTTGTACCCCCCGCTTCTGAAACCCATGACACTCTCTCATTATCTAATGCTGAAAAAATTAAATGAATTATTCAAGGTCACTGATACAAATTCAGTAGTTATTAAAATGGGTGTTACAAGTTTGGAAAGCCATTACTGAGCTTGTGCTGTTTAGTGATCAATTAGAGCATGACATAATCCCCGTCACCATCTGTCATTAGGCAGAGCCTTGCTTTAGCAACAGCCCCAGATGGTCCCTTCAAAGGTGACTCTGGGGAAATTCCAAAGACAGGCGATTGCTTCTAATAGTCACTGAAATTAGTGATTTGTTGCTAATAATACAATAATGAAAATAAAAAAAAATATTCTAAATGTATACTAAATTATTTAAATGGAAAATTCCCAGTCTTTTCTACTTCTATCCTTTTTGGCCAAGAGTTAGGTTTCATGAACCCTGCGAGAAAGGCTTTAGGGATACACTCTCTCCTTCACACAAGGCTTTATTCACTAGACAAGAGATTCACTTTGGTCTGAAGTCCAATTCTTGCACCAATCAGGTGATCAGTCGAATTCCCAAACTCCAAGCCATATTGTACCAGAATCGGGAACTAATCTGTGCCTGTTGTCAGCATTTTTAATTCTATTCACTTTTCTTATACAAATCTATAGCCATCCCCCCTCAAGTCTTGAATTCTCTTGACCTCCAGCAACTGATGTTCATTCTCAACTCTTATCCATCCCTACCTTCTCCTGTCCCTCTCTGACTATCTCCTCATATAATGCTCACCTCTGCCCTGGGTGCTGCAGCAATGCTCCAAATATACACCTTAACCCCTTAAGGACACGTGACATGTTGTGATTCCCTTTTATTCCAGAAGTTTGGTCCTTAAGGGGTTAAGGAGGATGAGCCTTTAACAGTGGCACACTGTGTTGACTTGCTAACTGCAGAGATGTTCCCGTTCAGTTGAACACTACTGGAGAAGGTCTTCTGTTCATACATCCCGAACCCTTGGTAAACATTTTCTCTTTTTTTCATGCTCCCACAATCCCAGGCATCTTTGATACCTTCAACTCTCTTCTTTGCCCTGCCAGTAACCTTTCAGCCAATTGCTTTGCTTGCTATTTTAGCTTCTTGTTCTGGGTTGTCAATTTATTTTAACTACTTGTCCTTAGAGAGCTCGCACCCTTATGTATGGTGTAATATGGTTTATCGTTCCGTCCTTTATAATGTGCCCGTTCCTGGGATCTTCAGGGTCCATATGAAATTTTCCCAATTCTCTATCTGTGCTTCGTGTAAAAAAACAAAATCAAAAAACAAGAATAAGCGCGCTCTTTCTGTTAATAAGCTGCAATTCACCAACAAGGTGTTCCCCCTCCCCCTCCCCCCCTTCCTCCTCCCCCCAACCTTGTGAAAAACAAGACCAATTTTACAGAATAAAAAAGGTGAACAGTGCTAACAATAGGGAAGGTACATACGTAATTGGAATACTGGCCAGCGGTATAGCTTAAGGGAAAAAAAGAATACAATAATAGTGCAATATGTAATAACGATAGAATGGACAATAATGGAATATTTCCTATATTCGTCAGTATACCCCTGTAACGGCACCCCCAGGCATAAAAGGGTTAAACCGCCATTTAGTAGATCTTCCCCCTCCAGAGACACAGGCACAGCTACTGCAGAACACCAAAACCGCCGAACAGGAAACCATATGAATGCTGTAAACAGCCGAATAGTAAAAACCATACGAATAGGTTTACACTCCTAGCAGTCGAACTGGAACAGCATACAATAAATCCCCACAAGAAAGAGACAAAGCTCCGTGTTGAGGGTCAAGCAGTGAACAGCCAGAGCTGTGGGTTTATTGTGCTTATGTACACATTCTTACACATTAGTACCACCCACAGGGGTTTGGAACACAACCAATAAACACATACAATACACTCAGACACTCCCACACAAAATCCTCCCCTCTGCCTGTGATACAACTACCTTGCACAATGGGTAATGTAATTGTAACAAGCAGAGAAATACAATTTTTCCACATTATTCATAACTTGAAAAGTATGCATCACATTCACATAACATTTTCAGAATCCACATACTCCAAATACAAACATACGTCAAAATCATACATATTGGTCCAGTGGTTCAAAAGATAGATCGTAGTCCTTTGTGACCAAAGGAAGCATGGCTTTTCTGCCCAAAACCAGTTCTACAGAGTCTTCTATCCTGGGGATAATTGGGAAGTAATCCAATTATCTCCAAGGACCCTTCCCTGCATATCACACTGCCGCTGGGGATCTGAGCCGACCGCCCAGCATCCCTGTAACTCACCCTGCCGCTGGGAAGGGAGGACGCTGCTCTCCTCTCCCTGCAAGGTACACTGCCGCTGGGGAGGGGAAACTATGCTCTCCACTCCCTGCACTTCACACTGCAGCTGGGGAAAGTAGACACGGCTCTCTATTCCCTGCAAATCAACCTGCCGCTGGGGATCTGGGCTGACCGCCCAGCATCCCTGTAGGGCCAGTGGAGAGACCTCTGTCCCATCTCCACCTGCCGCCTAGGGTTCCTCCCAGTAAATCTCAACAATATCTTCCCAGCTGAAGGGGTCTGGAACTGGATCTGTCACTCTGCTGTCCTGCGGAGCCTTCCCAATGGAGTGGAAGAGATCTCGGTAGTCCTGCTCCAGTTCCCACTCCAGGGTTGCTAGGTGAGCCAGGTCTTGCTCTACCTCATGGGGGTCATCCCAGTCATGCCTAGCCTCCCTCTCGTAGAAAATGTCCTGAAGTCTGTTCTGCGCAGGGCTCCCGAAGTCAGGCTCTGCAAAGGACTCCCATAACAAGCCAGGACCATCAAACTCCTCTCCCTCTGACTTGTCATGCTCGGCTGTGCAGGGTATATACTGTGCCATATACCACTAGAGCGCCTGGTAGGCATCCTCTTGCCATACCCGGTGCTCTAGTTCCTTCACCCATTCCTCCAGGGGCTGCTCTCCCAGGAAGGGCATCCGCAGGGCCACTTGCTTCTGCAACCGCTGCTCTTCACTGGGGAGACTCTCACCCCGCTGGTATTGTACATTATCCAGGGCCTGGTACCAGATGCCTTTCCTTAATGCATCCCGGCCATCCAGGTCCTCCTCCTCGTATAACACTGCTAGTTCCATTCTGTTGCTTTTAGGGTCGCTGTACTGGGACATGCGTTGCCCCCACTTGTAAATCCAAAGAAATGGTGTCTCCTGTAGCTGTCCTTCTGGCTGTAGGAACGATACCCGCCGCTTGCCACCAATTGTAACGGCACCCCCAGGCATAAAAGGGTTGAACCGCCGTTTAGAAGATCTTCCCCTTTCAGAGATGCAGGCACAGCTACTGTAGAACACCAAACTCCCGAACCGCATGTAAGGGAATGCTCCAAACTCCTGAACGGCATACAATATAGCACTCCAAACTCACGAACTGGAACCATACGAATAGCTGCTAGTAGACGAATAGGAAAAGCCTCCAAGCGGCTTACACTCCTAGCAATCAGTCTCTATCAGCATACAGTAAATCCCCCCAAAGACGAGACAAGGCTCCGTGTTGAGGGTCAAGCAGTGGTCTGTTTAATGAGGGCTACCTGCCCAGTATTTATGCAGGTCTCCCACCTGGTGGACACTCCCCTAGGGGACCAAATGGGAGACTGTGACAAAGGACAGACAATCAGCAATCTAGGACACACAGTCACATTATATTCCCACAATGCATCCTGGCTTCCTCCTCTCTGCCCTGGAGATAATTGAGAAGTAATTCAATTATCTCCCAGGACAAAGGCAAATCGCCATTATGCACGTGGGGATACTAACACAATAATTACTATTAAAATACACTATGTAAGACACATTACATTAAAACTATACATTCAACATGTCCCCAGATAGCTCAGGTCTGAGCGCACATTATTAAGCAAATGGCGCTCAGACCACACGAATACAGTTCAATCGCCATGGAGTCAAAGTCTTTACAAAGTTAGTTCTCATACGAATGATCTGCATGGGATTCCTATCTGGGGTATAATAGTCAGGTAAAACTACCGAACACTGGGCCGTTCGTGCACTCCCGCCGAACAAGGGAGGTCGGCGGCTTCAGCGGTGTTCGCGCCAAACTGTGTCCGTTTTTAGTTCCATGAGTTAGGCTTCAAACACTGCTGTGCGTTCGCGTGTTTAAAATGTCCGTGACCTCGTTTTCGTAATACGAATGGCGGCCACCCAGTATTCGTCAATTAAGCTGCAGTTAACCGCAGCTTCTGGGAGGCTAATTGCTGGCACACTCCAGCTCACAGGTGGTCTAGTCATTCGTGTGGTTGTTCGGTAGATTGAATCTACCGAACACCGGGCAGAAAAGCGCGAATAAGTCTTTTCTGCAGAGAAAAAGATGTCTTTTAACATGGGGCCATAGTCCAAAGGCAGCAGGTGAGCAACCAGGCTTCTCCAATGCAATGTGGCAAGATTGCTCTCATCACAACCCCTTTCCATTTTCGCTTGCCATATGACTTGAATGATTAATTCTTTGAAGGGGGAATTAGCACTGTTCTAGTTGGCGTTTTACTGCCGTAATGATATGTATTATTGCATTTGTTCTTTTTTTGGCATTTTGGGCCTCTTTGGGTTTAATAAAACTACTTCAGGCTTAAATCTTTTCATTCCAGTTATTTGATAAATTCCCTTCGTTACATTCTTCCGATATTGACTTATAGGAGCACAATACCACCCACTGTGGATCAGATTACCTTCATTAACGTTGCATTTCCAACACCTGGCTGATGTTTCTGGAAAGATTCTATTTATACGTTTTGGTGTCAAATACCACCTGTTGGCGAGTTTAAAATGTGTTTCTGTAAGATTTAGGCAATGTATATGTTTGTATACTTTACTTAGGGAGCTTATCCTTTTTTCTTCTATGGATATTTGTAGTTCTTCTTCCCATTTGTTAATCAATCCTATTGATTTATCGTGCCTCCATCCTTATATAATTTTGGCACATTTTGCCAAACGGTTCTTATAGTTCTTTAGTTCCACAAGATGTCTGCGTTTTTTATATTTTTCTCCTCCTTGTTCTTGGATAAATATTCAGAAATGAAGCCCTTGATTCCTAGGTAATTGAAGGTTTCCTTCCTGGAGATTTTAAATTCCTCCATGATTTGCCTAAAGGGTTTGATTTTATTCTGCGCTATATTTTCGAAATCCCTGATTTCCCCCTCGCTTTTTTCTAGATGTCTATTTTTATATTTTCCATCATGTCTGAAATCATAGAGAATGGGAGCACCTCTATTATTTTATATCTAAATCCCATATTGAATGTGATTTTATTCCACCAGTTTGTTAGTTCAGATCTGAAACCCTAAATAATGAGGACAAATTGTTTACCCCTGTTGTAGTTTTTTCCATGTTGTACCACGTTTCTTTGGTCGCCATATTATTTTGAGTGAGCAAAATGTGGAAGTGTCTGCTAGCCATGTAACATTGCATAATTTCTGGACACCCCAGACCTCCATCTTGCATTGACCGAGCTAGATTTTTCATTTTCACCCTAGTTTTTTTTTTTTGCCACCCTATACAAATTTGCATAACGATGACTGTGATAATGCTAACCAGTTTTCTGGAAAATTACGAGGTATCATTCTCCATCAGTATAGCCATTTTGGTAGAATGAATGTATTTAGAATGTTCATTCTACCTGACCAGGAAAAAACCTAGTCCTTTCAAATGCTTTCATTATTTATTTATTTTAGTTTGTTTTAATAAAGGTAGAAGGGTGGGAGAGAGGGATGTGAAAGTAACGGACCCTTAAAATACTATAGTACAGTGATGGCTAACTTCGACAACCCAACTTGTTTCTGGACTACATTTCCCATGATGCTCAGCTAGCTTTTAGACCTGGGAAATGTAGTCCAGAAACCATTAATGGTGTCATGGTTGGCCGTCACTGCGTAATAGAGCACTAGTAATTCGATGTAAATATCAAAGCTTGCAATGGATGGAGTACTCATTGTTACTCTGCCTTATTGCACAATGTGTTCCATCTAGCTTGTAGATTAGATGGGATAATATTAATACGGTACTTATTATCCCTATCGGGCCTTCGAGGACACCTTGTAATAAAGATACTGTCCCTATGATGCTCATCAGATCCCCATGTAACATTCATTTTTTAGTAACAGTTTTGATGTCCCTCAGTTGATGCAAGGGGTAATCAGAATAGCCGCTTGTTACAAGGTCATATAACTCATGTCTCGGTCGACAGTGGCTAGACTGAGCTATTGAGCCCCTGGCAGCTCTGATATACTGTTCAATACGGCAAATGTTAGTACTGTGGAGCTCTGTGATATACTGTGCCTTTTAGTGCTGTGGATACACTTATAATGCACATTACTGTGAGCTTTATTGCTGTAGAGCTCTGTGATACACTTGTATAATGCACATTACTATGAGTTTTATTACTGGGGAGCTCTGTGATACACTTATATAATGCACATTACTGTGAGTTTTATTGCTGGGGAGCTCTGTGATACACTTATATAATGCACATTACTGTGAGTTTTATTACTGGGGAGCTCTGTGATACACTTATATAATGCACATTACTGTGAGTTTTATTACTGGGGAGCTCTGTGATACACTTATATAATGCACATTACTGTGAGTTTTATTACTGGGGAGCTCTGTGATACACTTATATAATGCACATTACTATGAGTTTTATTACTGGGGATATCTGTGATACACTTATATAATGCACATTACTGTGAGTTTTATTACTGGGGAGCTCTGTGATGTACTAGTTGTAACGGAGCTCCTTGTACTCCGACTGAGTACCCTCTGTTGATGGACGCTCCTAGCGCTTCCTGAGGACTCCCAAGCACTGCAGCAGACACCACAACCACCACAGGCTCTGCAACCACCGTGTCTTGACTGGAGTTTCGCCGTCTTCCTTCCACCCTGGATCAGCTTCTGTCCTCAAGGACTGTGTGGTGAAGACCCCTCCTCCAAGGAGAGCGTGTCAGGAACAAGCTCTTAAAAGAGCTAAGTGACTCAAGCTCAGGGGAGCATGCAGAGCATAGCAATCCCCAGTGTGATTATAACAGCTCCCTCCAATAACAAGACAAGGCTACGTTTAGAGGGATCAAGAAGAACTGTCAAAACCTTTATTTCCCTTGGGACCAGCCAATAGGGTCACCACAATAACATTGTTGTGAAACCTCAATAAAATCACAAACAGTCAAACCATATCAAGAAACACACAGTGACTTATCACAACACAATGGCACATTTTTAAAGGGGTGGGGGAGACAATATTTAACAGTAAATATCTCACCTGCCTGCAGAATTAGCAATATGCAAATCTACCCGAATATGCAAATGGCCCAGTCTTGCAATTCAGGTAGTGCATATTGCTGTTGCTACCAACAGAGGGCACTAGACAAGCTCCATAGCCAAACCCACAGCAGTACAGGAGAGCAGGCAATACATTACACAGTATACACACACACACACACACACACACTATAAACAATTACATTACACACACCCTGCACCTATAATGGGTACAGGGTGACTAAAACATAGGATAAATAAAGCAGCCCACATAAATAGTATGTCTGAAGGTAGACTAGGGGCTTTAAAGCCAGATACATGAAAGAGTCATAGTCACAGGGGAGGAGGCTGGCAAGCAGGCTTCTCCAGGACCAAGTGGCGAAGGGCACTTCGTCACACCTTCCTCTCCCCTGAGCCCAGCAGGAGAAGGTCCCTGAGGGTGGGGGCACCCTAAGGGCACTATAGTGGTCCTTTAATATTTTCCAGCCCGTGTGTTGGCAATAGGCCGCAAGTTCATGGAATATGGCAACGATGATGTCACGGCGTGCACACACGTGTTTTTATGCGATGCCATGACTGTAGGAAAAGTCTCAGTAGCTCCTGGATACTGATGTCAACAATGGCACTTCCAATGTGATAGCAAGAACTGCCCTTCAGTTTGCGTTTACCCAAACAGTGAATAGTACACAAACGCTGAAAAAGTTTGTCTTTTAATAGCAGAGTTGAAAAAATAAAAATAAAATAAAACACCCAGTATAACTAAGGCGTCAATTAATTCTGCCAGCAAGTGAAAAAAAAGTTTAAAAAAAACTTTTATTTATAGATAGGGAGAGAGAGATATTATATATACACACACACCTTAGATACAACGTCATACCAAGTGCATTTTTTATTAATATATACATACACTTAGAGTATTATAAATAATAACTAATTAAAACTTGTTTAAATATATATATATATTTGATATTATATATCAAAATACACTAAAATTATACATATATATCTATGTATATAAAAATAAATATAATACGATATACATGTCCATATACATAATTACATAAATTTCATAACTATACATGTAAACTTCATATATCTATATGTATATATAAAATTCTACGTGCATATTTATGTAGTATTTTTACATAATTAGGTCATTTTATTAATTACAATTTGCAGGACCTGCCTGAAAACCCAGACAACGTCCAGAGAATGGAATTTGCTAGCACTGTGTTTAATCCTTTAACTAGTTTAGTTCTCTGATATTATGGCGCTGTGATGTACCAACCCCTAGTTGATGCTGTGGAGCTCTGTGATGTGCTAGCTCCCTAGTTGATGCTGTGGAGCTCTGTGATGTGCTAGCTCCCTAGTTGATGCTGTGGAGCTCTGTGATGTGCTAGCTCCCTAGTTGATGCTGTGGAGCTCTGTGATGTGCTAGCTCCCTAGTTGATGCTGTGGAGCTCTGTGATGTGCTAGCTCCCTGAGGTTAGATTAATTAGCATGGTGTGCCCCTTGGTGTGTCAGGGTGTATATATAAACCAGAGTAGCTGACAGTCCCCAGCCAGCTCCCATTAGTCTGTCTACCAGTTGGCTGCAGGTGGTGGGAATTGCAGTCAGCCATGGAGGCTTTAATGACAGAGCCCAGGTCTCTCCAGGCTGTATCTCCTATTTAATACAGACATGTATAGCTGGTTTCCATGGATGGAGACACAGTGATTATACAGTATATAGATAGAGCTGGTTTCCCATGGAGACAGTGATTATACAGTATATAGATAGAGCTGGTTTCCCATGGAGACACAGTGATTATACAGTATATAGATAGAGCTGGTTTCCATGGAGACACAGTGATTATACAGTATATAGATAGAGCTGGTTTCCATGGAGAAACAGTGATTATACAGTATATAGATAGAGCTGGTTTCCCATGGAGACACAGTGATTATACAGTATATAGATAGAGCTGGTTTCCATGGAGACACAGTGATTATACAGTATATAGATAGAGCTGGTTTCCATGGATACACAGTGATTATACAGTATATAGATAGAGCTGGTTTCCATGGAGACACAGTGATTATACAGTATATAG